TCCTGACCAAGAATCGAACCATGACTTCCTGGTTCATAGGTTGACGCTCAGCCACTGGGCCACACTAGCTGGGCTCAAACTCAGAAAATTTTAGATTTGAAAAAGGAATACTTGTTCTAGGGCAGTTGTTGGCAAACTCATTAGTCAACAGAACCAAATATCAGCAGTACAAAGATTGAAATTTCTTTTGAGAACCAAATTTTTTAAACTTAAACTTCGTCTAATGCCACTTCAAAATAGACTGGCCCAGGCTGTGGTATTTTGTGGAAGAGCCACACTCAATGGGCCAAAGAGCCGCACGTGGCTCGCAAGCCAAAGTTTGCTGGCCACGGTTCTAGGGAAAGCCAGAAGACATTTACCGTACAAAATTCCATTGTTTTGAGGCCACTTTGTGGATAGTCCTAGAAATATGAAGCATCATGCGGAGAAGGAGAAGCCAAGGGCTCCACACATGTGGGTGTAATAGTAACCTTGGAAGTAGTAAATCCTCCTGTCCCAACGGCACTCCACTGAAACCACGTGGGTCAGAGATGAACTGCCAAGCCAAGTCACACCCTTCCCAAATTCCTCTCCTGGGCAAAACAAAGAAGTCTTTACTCCTTTATTTTCAGTAAGGAAAATATCAAACTTTTTCTTTGATATTAGGAATAAACCAAAATGCTCACTATCGTTCAACAATATTACAGAGGGTGAATCTGACTGATGTAGGAAGGAGAGTTATTTTACAGAGATGACTGACGCAAGAATTTTACAAAGTTTGGCGAAGAGGAAATTGCCAGTGTTCTCTGCATCTAGTTTGTCTCTCCTCTCTCTGCCCCTGGCAAGACCTCCAGCTCCATGTGGCTAGGAGAGGCCATGGGACACTCCTGACCTATGGGCTCTGTCAGGGGGGAGGGGACCTGTGACATTTCCAGTTTGGAGAAGAGGATACGTGCTCCACACTCTCTCTTCCCATCATGCCAGACCCTGAAGCCACCGTTTGCCATGGTGGTGCCACATGGTGACCACATGGAGCCTTCCCCTTCGCATGCAGCCAGCATGGGACATGCAGCGTGGAAAGTTTACTGTGAGAAGCCACGGAGATTACGGTTAATTTGCTACCACAGCCCAACTAGCCTAGACTAACAAGAGTTTACTGTGCCTCGCTAATCATTAACAAAAGTCCTTTCTAAATTTTTTAAAGTTATATTTAAATTTTCCTGTGTAAACAAGGTAGTTAATCCCGTTTCTGGACACTCCAAAAGGTGGTTTTATTAGGAAAAGCATTGTTATTTCTCCGAAGGATAATAAACTAAGGGAAAACAAAATCACCAAGAAGCCACTTACCCCCAGAGGAAGCTCCTCCCATCTACTTTCTCCTCGCACTGCACAGAAACAATGAATGCAAAACAATCAAACAAAAACACTGTCTGGAAAGGTGTCCACTAATTTGTGGAAATAACCTCAAACTATTTTGAGATTTTCCACTGATACCTTTCGGTTTTGGAGTTGGATCCTGTCTCTTAGAAACTATCTTCATGTTGTTGAACCAATTTTAAGAAAGCACAAATATTATTAACTGGAAAAAAATAACAGCTCAAATATCAACCTGCCCTCTCAATAATCTGAAAAGCTTAAAAATTCTGTCTCAAAGAATAACCTCTGGATAGTTTTATGTGTTCAGCTGGCCAATTCTCTCTTTGTAATGTAGTTGTCCCCATTCCTGTTCACATTGGTATAGTTTGTGCAAAAATATTATGAGCCTTCAAGAATAAAACACATGTGGTCATCTATTCCTTGGCTGCCAGCACACAGGAGTTTAACATAGAGCTTATTTTAAAAATCAGCCAAGAAATTCTTGGAGTTGAAGTTGTTTTTCCATTAGAGGTATGAAACTTGGCATCACATGTTTCTGCTCTGGAAAAAGTCCACTGACACTCCGAATCACCTGGGAACGTAAATTAACGTTAAATAGTTCTTAGAACATAACTCTCAAAGGCACAGCAGGGGAAAAAATAATAGGAAAACTATAACCTGGTTTTCAAAGTGTATTCACATAAAACTTCACAATCTTCACTGCCCAGTAGGACTATGTCAAAATAATCAGACAAGCAGTCTATACTTAAGAATTCTAAGAATCCTGTTGGTGGGACTATAAGAAAGTACAGCCACTGTAGAAAACAGTATGGTGATTCTACAAAAAATTAAAAATAGAATTACCGTATGATTCATCAATTCCACTTCATGGGTATATATGCAAAAGCATTTGAAATCAGAGTCTCAGATATTTGTACATTTATATTCATGCCAAAGTTATTCACAGTAGCTAAAATATAGAAACAACTCAACTGTCCATCAGTGTAAATGGATAGGCAAAATATGGTATACACACATAATAAAATATTACTCAGCCTTAAAAAAGAATGAAATGCTGCAATGTGCTACAACATGGACTAACCTTGAACATATTATGCTAAGTCAAATATGCTAGTCACAAAAAGATAAATACTATATGATTCCACTTATAGGAAATACTTAGTCAAAATCATAAGGACTGAAAGTATAATGGTGTTTTCAGGGGCATGAGTAGAGATTGATGGAGACTTACAGCTTAATGGGTATAAAATTTCAGTTCTCCATGATAAAAAGAGTTATGAGGATGGATGTGAGTAGTGGTCATGCAACAACATGAATGTTTAATACTACTGAACCATGCACTTTAAAAAGTTCAAACTGTGAATTTTATGTGTATTTCACAACACTTTTTAAAAGTGAAATAAAAAATAGAATCTTGTATAGAACTCAAAATAACCATGAGGCCATCAATTTAGGCACACTTGAATGAGAACTAAATATATAGTTTGCTTCCACTACTTGTACTTGGACTAAGAACTATGCTTGTAATACATCAGAGTGATTATAAGCAAGGCTCCTTCACTATTGCTTAATGACGATGAAAAAGATGAAAACTATCCATATGCTTTTGCATCAAGTTGGAGGACATTTTATTGTCATAGTAGCTTGTTCAAGGCTTTCTTTTAGCTTCGCTCAAAAAATACCACAGTAAGACCCTTGCAACAAAATCTGGAATCCAAAAAACACAATGAGATGAGGCAATAAGAGAAAGGTGGAAGATGGAGCCTTGAACATGGAGAAAAGTAGTGTGATGGAAGTGACACCCACAGTGTTGATATGTAGAAAGCAGTAAAGAGTCAAGCTTTCCCTTGATGTGGGTTTCAGGTGGAACCAACACAATAAATGCATAAGGAACCTGAAGAAATATGTTGTTGGGAAATTGTACAAATTATTGTGCTTCATTCTTTTTTAAAAAATAATTTTACCATTTTATTTATTTACTTACTTATTTTTAAATCCTCACCTGAGGATATGTACTCATTGATTTTAGAGGAATGGACGGGAGAAGGAGAGACACACAGAGAGAGAGAGAGAGAGAGAGAGAGAGAGAGAGAGAGAGAGAGAGAGAGAGAGAGAGAGAGAGAGAGAGAGAGAGAGAGAGAGAGAGAGAAGCATTGATGTGTCAGAAACACATCAGTTGGTTGCCTCCCACATGCACCTCAACCAGGGCAGTGAGCCTGCAACCGAGGTACGTGCCCATGTTTGGAATAGAACCTGGGACCCTTCAGTCCACAAGCTGATGCTCTATCCATGCACTTAGTCAAACAGAATAGGACTATGCTTCATTCCTAAAGGCTTTAAATTTGGGGGATTAATGCCAAATGCATAAAATCTCCAAGATGCACAGATGCCTCCACTGTTGACAGTAGTTTTTGTTCATCACCATCATAACTAACATTTATCGACCGCCTAGCTATATACCTAATATTGTTCTAGGAGCTATATTCATATTAACTCATTAGATCCCCCACCAACTTTATGAGGTACTATTATGATGTCCACTTAACAAGTGAGCAAAGTGAGGCACAAAAAGTAATGGGACCAGTCACACAACTAGTATGCGAGACAAGATTCAAACCTCTGAACAGCTAAGATATACACCAAAACTAATTTTTTGACAGTGAGTTAGATCACCAGGGCCATAGGTTTTAACAACTACAGCAGGGCAATAGTCACCAAAAAGAATGATGGTGACTAATAAGTCATCAATAACAATGCTTCAGAGAAAAGTTAAAGGATAGAAAGCATATAATGGGAGAAATAGTGATTATTATTGCTGTTGCTTGGCTCATAGATAAAAATAGTACTCAAATCAATATACTGATATTTTCAGAAAATATACCTGTGTTTCTGTTATGTCCATAGAGTCGGAAAAGAGCTGTGAAGATAGAGAGCTGTGAAGAGAATGCGTCCCTTGCGTTCCCCAGCAAATTTAAGACTGTATTTCACCTTAAAAAAGAGTTAAACTAAGCAGGAAATATATTTCCCAGTCAGGAGTTAAAATATCTAATTATTTTCAAATCATTTTACAAATAGAAAATCAAAGGAGTAACAAGAAAAATTGCACCCTTGCCCATATCATTGGTTTTGAACTTTAAAATCAGGATCATCCCTAAGATTATTTTATTTTTATATTATATAAAATACAAATATTTTATTTTTAATTATTAGTAAATTCAGATCAGTTCATGCTTCATGTCTAGAGCATTCGACTTACTATTGGGCATCTAAACACAGTTGCTTTTTAAACAGATTTTTTTCATATAATAATAATTCTATAATATTTTGATAATTATGGTACATTCCCGTTCATTGAGGGGATAAAAAAAAAAGATAATTCCATAAATAAATCGCTTTACATAACAAACTCTCCCACTGAAAAGTAATCACCACCACAAATCCATTTTCAAGGAAAATCTAGATCAAATATAGTTGATTATTTATCAATACTATTAGCTTCCGTCTGCATTAATCCTAACCTAGAGATAAATATACCTAGGCTATGATAATCTGGTTCACAGATTAGAATAACAAAGTAGAATACAGGCCCTTCGGGTCATAAATATCACTAACAAATGAATTTTGAAGAATTTTCAATTACATACCTAAAGCTAGGAGTTTCTTCGTCCCAGTTATGTTGCTTCTGATCTGTACAAGAAAAAGACAAGAAGTGGTTATGAGATTTCTACCTGAACTCAACTGCTGAAGAGGCCATTAGAATCCTTCCATGTCACTCAACCCCAAGAAATGGCAACAAAATAGTAACTTGGTCGTCATAATAGCAGCTATCCAGGGTCACTCCAGCAGAATGAGACAGAAAGTTCTCATAGAAGACCTGTGTAGTACACTATCAGGGAATCATTAAACTGAGATTCCGTGAAATTAAATGTTTTCTAAAACATAAGGTGAAAATAATGTTCTAATCCTTCTGAACACTCCTCAAGATACATTTTTACTTTTTTTTTAATATGGGCATACCTTGCATTATTGTGCTTCACTTTATTGCTCTTCGCAGATCTTGTGTTTTGTTTTGTGTGGGGTTTTTTGTGTGTGATTTTTGTGTGTGTGTGGTTTTTTTTTTTAACAAATTAAATGTGTTTGGCAACCCTGGGCAAACAAGTCCATTGGTGTCATTTTTCCAACAGGTCAGATAATTATTAGCAGTTTTTAAGCTAACATATTTTTTGATTACAGTGGATAGAGTGTTATTTTAGACATAACACTATCATTGCTCACACAAGAGACTACAGTATTGTGTAAACATAACTTTTATATTCACTGGGAAACCAGAAATTTCATGTATTTCTCTTTATTGAGATATTCACTTTACGATGGTTTGGCACTGAACCAGCAGTATCTTGAGGCACGCCAGTACCTTTCAGGCATGCACACGGATCTGTTTTCCTGGGATTTTGCCATGGGAAAATGTTTCATGTTAGTAACAATAACTCCACTTATTGCCTAAACCATATATTTTTAAAATACTGATTTTTTTAAAATTTATTTTTCAAAGCAGTTTGCGGCTTATAGTAAAATTGAGAGAAAGGTATAGATAGGTCCCCGATACCACCTTCCCCAACACATGCACAGCCTCCCTCCTTACCAACATTGCTCACCAGAATGGTACATTTTTATGCAAGACGAACCTACACTGACCCATAATAATTTCCCAAAGTCCATGGGACATTTAGTGGTATCACATGTTTTGTTTTAATTTGCATTTCCCTGGTGGCCTACAATGTTGAACATCTTTTTATTAGCCATTCGCCATTTGTATATTTTATTTGAAATCCAGGATTCAGTCAAGGATCATTTTATTGCATACAGGGTTGGGAAAAAATAGGTTTCTACAATAGTTGTTTATGTGGAAAATAATACCTTAATCAATGAATAAATACAAGAATAAACTGGTTCACATACTTGCAACTGTAAACCTACTTTTGCCCTACTCTGTATATTGGCATGTGTATGTAATTGCCTTTGTCTTTGATGATTGACATTTTTGAAGAGTCCAGGCCAGTTGCTTTGCAATGCCCCTCAGACTGGACATTTGTCTAATTGTTCCCTCACAATTGGGCTAGGTGAACATTTGTCAGAGGTTTACAATGCAAAAATGGAATGCTTTCCCTTCTCTTTATATATTAGGAAAAGCACAAAATAGGTTGTATTGACATTTTCTTTCAAACACTCAATAATACCTAATGATTGTCTCCTATAAGACAGACTTGGTGCTACAATTTGCAATTTATGAAATGCTTTGACATGAATTAATTTATTCAGTTTGTACAACACAATGAGGTAAGTATTTTAATCATTTTTCGTATCCTCTTTGTTTAAAATTGATTTTAGAGAGAGGAAGGGAAAGCAAAAGCAAGAGCAGGAGAGAGAGAGAGAAACATCAATGTGAGAGAGAAACACCCATCAGCTGCCTCCCGCACATGCCCAACTGGAGACCTAACCCACAACCTGACCAGAATCAAACCCGCCACCTTTTGGTGCAAGGGATGATGGTCCCATCAACTGAGCCACACTGGAAATTTATCCAAGTTTATAAAACCAGTAAGACCACTTCTGTGGCCAAAACTCAAACACAGAAATACAGTAAACATTAGAGAGCAAGAAGCCCTCTATTTTCGTGTCAAATAAATCTAGTCATTCTTCTCTCCTACAACCTGCACTTCATGTTGTCTAAACATTATGCCATACTCTTCTAGTTTTCCTATGTTAATTTACATGGCAATTCAATGCTATACTTTACTTAAACATTTTTTTCAACTATAATGATTTAAAATTGTAACCGTTAAACCAGAAACATCGCCAAAGTACATAAATGTTAGCTGAATTAACTGCCAACTCATCGGCTTTTGTCCATGTTGACTTCTTTGCATTTGGTGTCCCTAAAAATACCCCAGCTCTTCCCTTCTCCTCGGGTAAGATTTTATGTCACTTCCTTCTACTTTCCAAAGCAGTGAACACAGCATTGTTTCATGGTGTAGTAATCAGCATTTGTATAAAATCTTCTCAGCATATTAAACTAATTAGATTTTTTTTTTAACCCTTGGACTTCACAATCCCAGTATTGTTTAGTTTAGGGACAAGGAAAATTTGAGTATCAGTGTATGTAATTGGTTCATAACTGATAGCATGAATGTCTAAGTAGACACTCCAACCAGAAAGAGCACAAACAGGTCTTCCCACTCCATATGTCAGGGGCACTGTCGGGGATAAATGCCAGATAACTTTTCTTTCAATACTGGAGTTTCAAAAGGAATGCCACCCATGTCCAGGCCAGGGTGACTTATCTGGTCTTCAGACTCAGATGTACTATCTACACCATTTTGAGTTAGGAAAGAACTTAAAGGGAAAAAAAGTGTGTTATTTTTCACTGATAAAAACTCTTTACCACCTCAGGAAGACCTCAAGCTGAGATGACAGATCAAAATCCATGTACGCTCTCTTCCATGCACCATCTCCCCTAACACTCGGTGATCTGAATATTTCATTTGACAGTGAGAGTAATTTCATCTGCCTCAGCAATGAGTGTGGTATCATTATCCTTGTCCAGTATTCAATTTCACAAGGGAGCAGAGACATAATCATGGAAATAAGAAACGAAACTCTCTTTTAAACTTCCATAGAGTTCTGTAAGTCTAACATCGTTTTCTTTTGAATTGGCATATTATGCACCTCCTTAGGAAAAAGAATCTATAGTTTCATCCTAGAAGAAACGCATTATTCTAATTCTTCATTCGAATCGGTTTCCTAGGCCTAATACAGTAAAGGAAGATGCATTTAGTGATAATTCCTGGACTTCATAAATTATAGCCAGACAGAAAGAGTGACGAAAAGTATTTCAGCTCTGAAGTTTTTAATAGAACATATATCATTCATTTTCCTCACCAGTCCTCAACGACTCCTATTATCTTCAAATAACAATAAGAACGGCTGCCTGCAGTTACCTTAATCACCGTGATTTCCTAAGAAATGAAGACTGACGTCTATTGAAAATTATTCCAATTATGTCTTTGAAAATTAGTTCAAAACTGTGAAAATTACCACTTTCAATATTATATTAACCTCCACCAGGTGTTATTAGTCATTCTCACAGTCTTTCTAGAGCAAAATGTGACATGACTGTCCAATTTTTTTTATCCATTAAAATTCAACTTTGAGATTTCACAGTTATTTTTAAAACTTCGCTCAAATTCAATCTACTGAAGGTTTAATCTAACCCTTTTGTAATACATCTTGAGAAGCAATTTCTCGGCTTAAATGCAAAAACGTGGCCAGAATGCATTTTATGGGATCACATAAAATCGATCTAACCACTTGAAAATAAGTAGAAGGTGAGCATAGAGAAAGATCTAACCATGATGAAAATAACAGTAGCCGACGTTTATGAAGCTCTGACGAGGACTGAGTGTGTAGCAGCATCTTCTAAAAGCTGCACCCACATGAGTCATTCACTTTTCATGACCATCCATGAAGCTGGGCCTGTCTTTACTCCCATTTAACAGATGAAGACAACTGCCCTGAGATCTGCTGCTCTGGCTGGAGTCCTCTGCTCTGCGGACAGCTGCCATCCCACTGCTCAGAGGTGGCTGCCTGTGCTACCCCCATCTCCTCTAGGCCCTCCCATACACACATCTGTTTCTGACTTTCATGAGGACTCACAGTGCTACACGCTACCAGCATGGCTCTCCCCCACAGTCAGTCTAGAAGGGGGACTGAGTGGGAAGGGTACAAGACAGGTACCCTGTGTCAGCAACCTCTGCACCCACAGCCATGCCTCCTCCAACCCAGCCAGACTCCTTGTTCATCGTAGCTTTCTCTAGGGCTCTCAATTCAATCCAGCTCCCTTGGGGGTCTTCAATCCCACAATGATGTCTGTAATGCCTAAACCACGACTGCAGAAAAGCTGAGCCCCTCTTCCCTGGGATCCTTGGGCCCCACACAATGCACCTGGCCTTGCCTCTGTGTCCCTGGACATCCTGAGGGGCCCCGCGTTTCACTGAACTCCCTCCGCCAGCCAGGAGGCGGCCTGCTCTGAAGGGCACAAGCACATTCGCAGGTGGCTGGCTGCAGCCAGCTGCAGATCACGTTGGCAGACTCTCATCCTGACATGGCCCGAAATGCCATGCTCCAATGAGCTCCAGGAAGGAGGCAGAACTCATGCCTCCCAGCTTCTCCGTGCTTTGATTCTTGGTATGTTGTGATCTCTACATACATTAGGTGAAGATGAAGGGAAGCACAGGGAGGAAGAAAAGGAAAGGAAGAGAGAGGAAAAGAAGGCCTTGGTGTGGGCAGTTGTGATGGTGTGTCACTGTAGAGTATGACCAGCCAGGGCCAGGCAGAGGAAGGTGGGAGAGGGCTCTGCCAGAGCAGAGGATGTGAAGATGACAGAATACCAAGAACAAAAGTCACCTCTCAGCTTTCCTCTCTGCTTTTCGCTTCCGGAGGCAATATCACTTCCAATCTCACTAGCCCATCTGCAAGCTCCACTCCACACCCCAGAAACACCGCAGAGGAGAGATGCATTTGTGCCAGCTCCCTGCACTTAGGAAAACTGTCCTATACCTCTCTTCGACCAAAACGCTATTTGCCTGAATATCAGGGTCAGTGGTTTGGGGTAAAGGCAAAGTAACATTAAAGTGAAAT